TCTTTCTTCCTCCTCCTGTCGTCTCTTTTCATCTTCTTGTCTTTGTTTCTCTCGCTCTTCTCTTCGTTCTTTCTCCCAGGCTTCTTGTTTTCGTTGCATCTCTTCTCTGGTCTCTTCCAGCTGTCTGTCGACACTTTCCTTTGCCTCTTTTTCCAAATGAATTTGTCTGTCCAACTTTTCAAGTTCTTCTTTGAATTGTTGTCGATATCTTTCTTCTCCAGTGTCCTTTTCCTTTTCCTCCTTTTCTCTCATTTCTTCTTCTTTTTTTTTCTTCTCTTGTTCTTCCTCAATTTTGTTCTTCATTTCCTCGAGTTCTTCAGCTTTCTGTTTTCTCTCGTTTTCTATTTTTTCTCTCTCTTCTGCCATTCTTATTTTCATTGCTTTCATTTCTTGCTTATGTTTTCTTTCAATCTCTTCCTTTTCCTTCTGCATCTCGTCTTCCTTCTCCTTTAAAATGTTCTGCATTTCCTTCCTTATCGCAGTTTCAGCCTCTTGCAGCATCTCGTTGGTGTAGAAGCTTCCTCCATTGTCCTTCACCATGGTGTCAATCTTTGCTATCAGCTCACTGACTTGTGTGCGGTTTTGCTTGTCAGAGTTATTGAACACATGGTATCTTCCTCCACAGTTAGAGATCAGCTTCTTAAAGGAATCATGACATTTGTTCTTGATGTAATCATCAATAGACTCTCCCTGACGCTCCAGATCGTCTCCTCTGGTGAAAAGGATGATGGTGAACTTTTCTGAGTTCTTCCCAAAGAATCTTTTAGTGAGCCTGATCGTTTCTCTCTCCTCTGCTGTGAATCTACCAACCCCTATCACCACCAAGAAGACATGCGGTCCTGGAGCCAGCTGGCTGATACATTTCACCAACTCCTCCCGAACTTCATCATTGGACAAACTTGTGTCAAACAGACCAGGAGTGTCGACCACAACAACAGGACGACCGTCCACCTCACCGTGTGCCTTCTTACAATATTGTGTGACTGATATTTGACTTGATGCAGCTATAAACTTGTCGTTTCCTAAAATCGTATTTCCTGTAGAGCTCTTTCCACAGCCAGTCTTCCCAATCAGCACAATCCTGAGACAGTCTGAGTCTTTTCCTTCAACTTCATCACCTATAACATGAAAACAATCAGAGTTAACACTTGAATACTGCTGGATTAAAACTCTTTGGGTCACTGAACACAGAAAAATATTAAATTCTGAAGTACTTACAAGTCATCATGTTCGTCTTCAGCTTCTCAAGTTCATCATGTTGCATCTGTATGGATTTATCTTGTTGTAAGACTTTGTCCATCTGTGCATGTAGAAATGTTGTCTTTGTATAACAGTGTGGTTTGTTTGTGGCCTCACTAATTTTGTCCACAACCTCAAACATCTTTGTAATCTGCTGTTTGTCTTTGATGTTGAGAACCACATGTCTTTGTCCGAACGTCTGAAGAAGCTTCTGGATGTCTTTGTCTATACTTAATATATTTTCAGCAGCTGGATCTGTAGGATCTGAGTCCACAGTGAACAGAATCATGGTGAAGTCATTGACTCGAGAGCTGAATGTGTCCTGGATGGTCTCTAACTCTC